CTAGAACATGGTGTGTATGAAGAAAGAGTTTGGAGGATTGGGAATCCCAAACCTCCAAGATGTCAACTTGTGTTTACTAGGTTCCTGGGTGAAGAGATACTATGAGAGTGAAGGAAAACCTTCGAAAATGATTTTTGATCACAAGTACATGTCTGGTAAGATTAATATTTTCGCTCCTAATCTATCCCCTAGTGCCTCCATATTCTGGAAGGGGCTGAAGACCACTATCCAAGCACTTAAACTTGGTTATAGGTGGAAAGTTGGGTCGGGTGAAAAAGTTAGGTTTTGGGAAGACACCTGGTTTGGTACCTCCCCACTAGCAGTGCAATTCTGGCCTATCTACTCCATTTGTAATGAACAAACCAATAGTGTCAAGGAAGTGTGGGATGGTACACAACTTAAGCTCACTTTTAGAAGGAATTTTGATGATAGACTCATGGAACAGTGGTATCAGTTAGTGGAGATAGCTAGTAGCGTGACCCTTACCAATGAAACTGATGCCCTTGTCTCGCAATTAGAGAGCAGGGGGGTTTACTCCACTAGCTCGCTTTACCATGTGATTAATTTTAGGGGGGTGCAACCAGTCTTTGTACCCTCGGTGTGGAAATTAAAAGTTCCACCAAAAATCCATATCTTCCTGTGGCTCCTGGCCAACAACAAGCTAATGACCAGGGATAACCTTACGAAAAGACAGATTATTAAGCCACTTGAGTGTGTGTTCTGCTATGAGGCCGAAACATGCTCGCATTTGTTTTTTGACTATGTGGTCGCTAGACAGATCTGGCCTCTGGTCTCTAATCACTTCAGGGTGGATACTGGGACTGATTTTGAATCAGTGGCCAGATTCTGGGTTGCTGACAAAAAACACTCTGCTCTCAACACGGCCAATGCTGCTGTACTTTGGTGTATTTGGAAATATAGGAACTCTATGCTTTTCAATAACACCATGTGGACATCCATTAAGCAGGTGATGAGGCTGGTTCTAAGAACAATCAAGAATTGGGTGATCCTGTCTTCGGGTGGGGTGGCAGAAAGGCTGGAGGCCTTCTCAACACACCTGGCGACCGTTCTGAGACACCCACTGATGATCGGTGGCTGATTGCGAAGCTCGCTGGAGCCCCGCTGGTGACTCCATGGGACAAGCTGAAGATCTCAGACGACGCGGTGGGCTTCCTGTCGCCCCCCAAGAAGCGTTCAGAAGCTACATCGTTGTCGAGCCCGACCTCGACACTGGTGGCTGCCTGGTCCCCTCAGGCGGTGACTGCACCGCCGCTGAAAACGCGCAAGGCATCCCAGGAGCTTAATCTGCATCTGAAACTAGCGGTGCCTGTGTTCCGGTTGCTTATCTTTGTAGTGGCTTTTAGCCGTCGTTTTCTTCTTTTCTGAACTGCTCCCCTTAGTGAGCTTATGTAATAACTGAATCTGATCTGAACTTGGCGAGGTGAGGAAGAAGAGAAGAGGAGATAGGGGCGTCTCCAATTCCCGCCACGTCCGAGGTGAGGAAGAAGAGAAGAGGAGATAGGGGCGTCTCCAATTTCCTGCCACTGTTTTGCAAGTGGATATAAGGCTATGGCCCCTTGCTCCAGGCCCGCTGTCCACGGCAGCCAGGGGCTCTCCCATCGGTGGTGGCTGCCCATCAGTCAGACCTCCTATTTCTCGCCGGCGGGTGAGCTGATTTGGGGGCTGCTGCTTGACTGGTGAGCCTATTTCTTCTACAATCGTGTTTTTATTGATGCTTAGAACCAAAAATGATGATAGAGCTCGAACCTCATCCATATTTTGAAGTGTACGCTATTTTTCACTTTTGTGCTAGAATTTAGTCAGTTGTTTCCTCGGTGTTGTCCAGCTTGACTGCTTGAGGCCTAGGCTGCCTCTGCAGGCACAATACAGTAATGTTTGATGAGCAGCAATAGCACCAGTCAGGCATTGCCAGCCGCAGAGAGAATATCACCCATACAGAAGCATGCCTTTCTCTGTTTGTCCATGGCATTTCTTTAAAAAAATCTCGGACTGGGTTATCCTCAGATGTAAAATCAGAAAGAAAGTCACGAGTAAGAAACTAAATTTGATGAGGGAGGAGAAATCACAGTTGGTAGTTATCACATATTGATCTCTCTAACATTGCAGATATGCAAATTTTCAAGACAATACGTCTTTTATAGCTTTCAGAATTTTTCGTTCACCAAATCAGTACTCGACCAGTCCACCTTATTAACATTACAATCACCGTTATCGCTATTATGTTCCAATATTTTGCGCTGGAGGATTTATTCCAAAAATAATCTCATATATGTGCATTCAGAAAAAAGCAGAGTCAAGTCTGAAGATATGACTGAATTCTGAACCTATCTGAGGGGTGAACTGGTGACAAATCTGGAGGCGATTCTGTAGTTAAAAGTAGTCTTGATTCGTATTTAGGTTATACCTGTAGACCTCTTTAAGGATAATAAATAATTGAGGCGGAGCTGCATATGGCTATCTTATTTCTGACCGTCAGACTTCTATTTGGGTTGTCATTTACATAACTAACATGGGCTACGTTGCATGTGCAATGGGCTACTCATCTGCATTTTGTCTTTACTTTGGTGATTCTTCTACTCCCTCCGATCCATAATAAGTGTCATGGTATTAAATCAAATTTAAACTAACACCAAGACACTTATTATGGATCAGAGGGTGAACTAAAACCACGACACTAATTATAGATTGGAGGGAACATTATTTTCTACCTTGCTCGGTCAAGATATAATTCTACTTTCATTCTGCTTGCCTTTAATAATATACTTTACAACATAGTTGTGTTGTACATGATGATAGTTGATGCCATCATAGATACTACACCATACGGATTCACCACTGTCTTAGCTATGCTATGCTCTACAGATAATGAGCAAAGTAGTTGCCTTAGTATACATCATTTTTTGTTGGCTCATGTCATTATCAGTTGCATGTTCTCAGTTTACAATTCCTTTTTCAGTTTATATATGTATGCATACACCCAGTTTGCACATTCCACTATCCAAATTTTCTTAAGTACTTGTACCCTACAGATCTTAACAAATATTTGTATCGCTGTTTTGTCATGGTTGAGCATGGAAACATGTGACTTTGATGATCTTACAACACCAGATTTACGTTTCATGGTATTATCCTATGGAAAACAATTGTTGCTTTGTGTTTATTCAGAAAGTTAAAGTTATTACTTTTCTTAATTTTCTAATGACTTGACATTTAATGTAACTATGAATACATGAAAAATACCATATCATTCTATTGAACAAAGGAATGGGCGCAGCAACGCGCGCCATCATTCATCTAGTTTGTGTTTAGAGTTGTGTTGTGATATCATCCCGTGAGTCTCTGATCTTGGTCGTACACATTTGCGTGCATGATTAGTGTACGATTGAATCGGGGGCATCACGCCTGCTGCCTCGCCTTCCTCCACAGGCAATTGCACAGTTTGCCAGACTTTGGGGTGATGTCGCGAGAGTGCGGTTGCGGCATGATACGGCTGACTCAATGACTTGGAGGTGGACGACCAACGGCATGTTCTCTTCTACTACCGCCTATGCTGCGCAATTCGAGGGGGGCACTCGCTTCAACGGACAACAACTGCTTTGGTTAGCTGACGCGTCGCTCAAGTGGTGTATCTTTGCGTGGCTTACGATTCTGGGTAAATGCCTGATGGCAAAAAGCTTAAGAAGGGATGGCCTCGCGATCCGGTTTGTTGCCTGTGCCGCACGGCGGACGAGGACTCTCCTTCACATGTTGGCTCGCTGCCCCTTTGTCCAATCTCTTTGGGGCCTCATGTTACGCAGCTGCAACCTACTTGCAACCTTGGGGCCAACGTCCGCGACATCATGCCTTGTTGATTGGTGGGCCAACACCATCAATGTTGCGTCCAACAAGATGGGATGGAACGACATCGTGGTGGTCTGGTGATTCACCTAGAAAGAAAGAAATGCAAGAATTTTCAGGCACGTGATATGATATCCCCTATCAATAATGGATTCAACTCAATGCATGATGAAGTATTGATTTGGTCCCAGGCGAGTCGCCGCAAGATCATGTCCCCACCAGAGCGACCACTAGAGTCGGAATGATCACCTCACATCTGCTGATGTTGTTTGCAGCGCAATAATTGTTGTTGTTGTTTCTATACTCTACTCCCTCTGTCCCAGAATATAAGACGTCTGTCTTACATAATGGGACAAAGGGAGTAGTTTTATGTAGAACTCCTCTCATTGAAATGAAAAGCTGCGCCATCGGTGTTTCATAAACAAAATAATCCCCAAAAAAAATCAAACACAATTTCTTGATAAAAAATTCTTTTTTTCTTGCGGGATGATAAAGAATAATTTCAAACACAAATTTAACTACTTCATTGCATAATTAAATAACGTTACCAAATTAACAGCATACATAGAATCATAAACAGTCCATTACCTACTACATTAACACTACATCAACATCGAACTGTCTAAGATAAACTGGATACTACATACATAGTACCAGCTTGATTAATCAAAATCAAACTATCTAATATGATGATTAATCAACCCATGGAATGAGTTTGATCAATTGAATTGGATTACCAAACGATTCCCTTGCCCTTGAGGAAGAAAATAGTAGTACCACACGTATCAATGAGTTTGATCAGTTGATAGTAATAATTCATACCCACAACCTGTCGTCTCACACCTCCCTTCGGCAGGCATCAAAACCACTTTGATCACACGCGAATTAAACAGACTATCACCTGGCCATGCCGGCATGCCGAGGATTTCATTTCATTCATGGGACAGGACACTTCCACAGTTGTTCACATCCAAAACCACACCACACTTGCATTCAGTTACTTATACACACGCCCACTCATAAAACAAAGCGACACTAGAGTTGCGACACAATCCCTCCACTCCACTCCACTCAACACCCATTTTTTCTCGAAGGGCCTGACAACCAAGGTAGCCTGACCTGCATGCATGTCAAGATTCATATCATTTGCGCCCCTTGGCGCGCTTCTTCTCGAGCCTCTGCCGAGCACGCTCAAACTCCTCCTCCGTGGGCTCTGAGCTGCCCGCCTTGTTGTCGTCACACTTGGACATTATAGATGACAGAACAGAGTCAAACCGCTCCTTCCTCTGTTCCCTGCGCTGCGAGATCGCCAGGATGAGGTCGCTCTCCTGGCTCTTCTTTTTCCTATGGCAGTTTCAGGAGACAAAACAGTGCAGACTTTACATAAGCAGGTGATAGCGACTAGTATCTTGAGAGGATCAAACTGGAGTGAAGTGTTTGCATTGACAGATAAATGCTAGTAGGGTAACTTACTTCACTCTCCTCTCCAATGGGTTTGTGGGTGGTTCTATCTCGGATATCTTTTTAGCCCATTTCGCATACACTTTGGTGGACTTCAGCTCGCCTACAAAGAAAGGAGACGGTAAGATAATTGCACATACAGAAGCTTTGAGGAGACGGTTGAGTCAAACATGTAAAATCAAGCACTTTACTAGCACCTCATTGTAGATTGTAGAAGAAAATGGGACAAAAAATCAATTATATATGGAAAAATCATAGTGGCAACAGCATATGATTATTTACCTTCAGCAATTGCCTGATCAATTATATCTTTGAAGCGGTGAGAATCAAGCTTGGCATCTGAGCAAATCATAGAGCAGAAAAGTCTGCACAAAAAGGCAGAGAGTTAGAAAAAAAGAAATGAAACACAGTTGATCAGTTGCAGTTTATCAAGCTTTGGAGCAAACATTTAATCCAGCATCAATCACCTGTTCATGTTGCCCTTAAATTTTGTGTACAGTTCCTTTAAATCCTTTTTCTCAGAGTCTGACCCTCTGTACTTAGCTTCAAATTCTTCAATGTCAGCTTCTGTGACCTGAGAATAATTTAGACAAAGCAAGTTCATCATGCATTGTATAAGCAAATGGACAACGCAAGTTTCTCACTGGCATGGAGCAAACACATACCTTTCTGTACACTGTTCTGAAGTACGCTTGGAGATTGTCTGCAGCTTCTCCAACCAGTGCCTAACACAAGGGAAAAAGATTCAAGAATATAACACAGAAACTTAAAAGGTGGAAACCAAATTGCTAGGATTAGGTGCTCACATCATCATCAGTAATTCCAGTCTCATCATACAATGCCCTTTTCTCCTGGTCTCCAAGAATAGATATCACCTTCTGCAGCTGCTGGAATTTTTCATTGGCTTCCTGACAACACATAGCATTTCAATTCAGATACATGGTACATATTTACTGCACAACAAAGGTTCAGAGTTGAAATCCTACCTCATCTCCAGGATTCTTATCTGGGTGAAGACGCAAGGCCAACTTGTGATATGCCTTTTTTATCTCCTGTTGTGAAGCTGTGCTCTCAACCCCTAATATCTGCACACAGAAGGAAAAAACAAGGCATATTAAATGAGATGTAGGTCATACTATGAGATCAACAAAGTGGAGCATATCAGCATAACAATTGTTTATTAAAGTACTCCTGTAGAAATTCAGACTTAACCCCATTTGAGGTCATTGCCATGGACTGCATGTACCCTTGCAGCTCATCTGCATGTTTATTTAAACCTGGGTTTTCTACCATAGTAAGTGCAATCAAGTTGTATCCACCAACTGACTGCAAATTTGCAGCAATCAAGAAACTAGTGATGATGTTTGAGAAGAAACCATGAATGCAAGTACGGTGCAGCTTTAGTTCTTGTAACAAAAAATTATATCTTGGTTTAACTGGGCATGAAACAGAAACTTTATATACCTCATGGAAGTGAGATCTGAATTCTGATCCATAAAATGAATAAAAATATTCCTATTCGCTAACATATGACTTACAGGACAATTGACACCTTTAACTGAACAATGGTATGTTCCTAGATCGACATATATATAGCAGCCCAGCAGATCCTAACTCCAAAATCCCAAGCAAACATCTCCCTTTCACATCCAGCCACATAACTGCTTGACCCCAGAAACAGGGCAAGGATAAAAGCCCTTTAGCACACTTACTAACCAATATGTGCGGCATGTGATCCTTTAACCCCGGGCATATTTTGGATCCGAAATGGGCATGTGTCCGGTTTTGATATGAATTGACTGCGGTTCACTAGGCTACTGTTTTGTGTGAAAAAAAATGTCATGACAGCAGGGGAAAGATATGTGTCCAGGTTTGTACATGCAGGTAACTAGTACTAGATCATAGGACTCCATATCTCGGGGCTAAACCTCCTGTGTGCGCATGTTTAATCACAATACCCAAATACTACTCACACCTGAGCGATTAGCATGGAGATCCACGAGAAATTCCTACCAAGGGAGCACCTGACTTAACAACGGACAGCCCTGGACGGGCGGCAACATCAAACAAACGTACATACGACGCCCTTACTGTTCATCCACGATTCCGAAACATCCGTGCGGGATTCGATCAAACGCTATCGCCGGGATCCGAAGCCCTAGGGTCTAGACGGAGGGATTACCTCGTAGAGGCTCTTGCTCTGCGCGTCGGCGGCGGCGGCGGGCTCTTGGCCGTTCATCTCGACGTCGTCGCCGTCGCTGTCGCTGGAAACCCTAGCCCTCCTCTTGCGGCCCATTCGGTGGGAGGCGGCGGAAGTGGGGGAAGTGGAGCAGGAGACCGTGGTGACGCGATTCTTTCTTTCTTATAGAGGCGCGAGCGCAAGTGCGGGAAATTTTCCCGCGCGCCGGAAATTGGCGGACTCCCGTTTCGGCGTTTCCCGTACCGGTAACCGTCCCTTCCCTCCCACCAGAAAGCGATCAAGATGCCTGGGGTGCGGTGCGGGGGGTGAGCAGGGAGATGAATATGCCACGTCGGATATGTTTTTTGTGGGTGTCAAAATAGATAGCTTTTCCGTGCCAACTGCCAACTATCCCGCTTTTGTTTTTGTAAAGATAAAAATGATTGTACGAATGATCTGATACTTTCATTGATTGAGAATCACATATTTATACAAGGTTTGGGACGCATTGTGAAGGCGTCTGTACAAAGAGGCGCATGTACGGACAGATGCGTCCGTACGACGCTTGGACACTAATAACCGCTAACTACGTTCCCTAACGACGATTCGCTAAAGCCGCTTCATTGATGTCGGTTCTCAACACTCCCCATTGTACAACGTCTCTTCTTTTGATTCATCTTTGAAAGCTTCTTGTATATTTATCATTCATCTCTTGAGAGTCTCCTCCAAAAACCCTGTGGTGAAAAAATATGAGGAGAATGGTATAGATATGTTGCTAAAACTTCTTTAAACCCAGTGGGAAAAATAATAAGGAAAAAATGATGCAACATATAGAGATTATTGTCTCTTGATAACTCATATGAGAAAAACCTTCAAAGAAAGAGAAAATTATTAGTAAGTTAGAGAACAATAAACATGCTTTAGATACTTTCCTTTAAAAACATTCATAGGAAAAATAGAAAGTATAGCATATAATCTTTATGAAGATATTTGCCTCATTAAAAACATCATGAGAAAAATTTCAAAGAAACTCATAATGAAAAGAGTGCAATCAGATGTGCCATGAAAAACTCCTTTAAAACCTAGTAGGAAAAATATAAGGAGAAATATAATATGGCATACATTAACGCTTGTATTTAATTGTCTCGTTAAAAACCTCTTGTGAGAAACCTATTGGAAAAACTCATACAGGAAAAGAGTACAATATTCATTATCTGCTGATAACTAAAAGGATTATATTTTTAGGAGATTTCTCCCCCTGAACTTTGCAAATCTCTGTTGGGGAACGTAGTAATTTCAAAAAAATTCCTACGCACATGCAAGATCATGGTGATGACATAGCAACGAGAGGGGAGAGTGTTGTCCACGTACCCTCGTAGACCGTAAGCGGAAGCGTTAGCACAACGCGGTTGATGTAGTCGTACGTCTTCACGATCCGACCGATCCAAGCGCCGAACGTACGGCACCTCCGAGTTCAGCACACGTTCAGCTCGATGACGATTCCCGGGCTCCGATCCAACAAAGCTTCGGGGATGAGTTCCGTTAGCACGACGGCGTGGTGACGATGATGATGTTCTACCGGCGCAGGGCTTCGTCTAAACTCTGCGACGATATGATCGAGGTGGAATATGGTGGAGGGGGCACCGCACACGGCTAAGGAACGATCCGTAGATCAACTCGTGTGTCTAGGGTGCCCCCGCGCCCCCGTATATAAAGGAGCCAGGGGGGAGGAGGCGGCCGACCAAGGAGGGCGCGCCAAGGGGGGAGTCCTACTCCCACCGGGAGTAGGACTCCCTTCTTTCCTGGTTGGAGTAGGAGAAGGGGGAAGGAGGAGGAAGAGGGGAAGGAAGGGGGGCGTCGCCCCCCTCTCCTTGTCCTATTCGGACTAGGGAGGGGAGGGGGCGCGGCCCACCTCTTGCCTCCTCTCCTCCTCTCCCTTATGGCCCATGTAGGCCCAATAACCCCCGGGAGGGTTCCGGTAACCCCCCGGTACTCCGGTAAAATGCCGATTTCACCAGGAACACTTCCGATGTCCAAATATAGGCTTCCAATATATCAATCTTTATGTCTCGACCATTTCGAGACTCCTCGTCATGTCCGTGATCACATCCGGGACCCCGAACAAACTTCGGTACATCAAAACTTATAAACTCATAATAAAACTATCATCGTAACGTTAAGCGTGCGGATCCTACGGGTTCGAGAACTATGTAGACATGACCTAGAACTATTCTCGGTCAATAACCAATAGCGGAACCTGGATGCCCATATTGGTTCCTACATATTCTACGAAGATCTTTATCAGTCAAACCACATAACAACATACGTTGTTCCCTTTGTCATCGGTATGTTACTTGCCCGAGATTCGATCGTCGGTATCCAATACCTAGTTCAATCTCGTTACCGGCAAGTCTCTTTACTCGTTACGTAATGCATCATCCCGTAACCAACTCATTAGTCACATTGCTTGCAAGGCTTTATAGTGATGTGCATTACCGAGAGGGCCTAGAGATACCTCTCCGACAATCGGAGTGACAAAACCTAATCTCGAAATACGCCAACCCAACACCTACCTTTGGAGACACCTGTAGTACTCCTTTATAATCACCCAGTTACGTTGTGATGTTTGGTAGCACCCAAAGTGTTCCTCCGGTAAACGGGAGTTGCATAATCTCATAGTTTCAGGAACGTGTATAAGTCATGAAGAAAGCAATAGCAATATACTAAACGATCAAGTGCTAGGCTAACGGAATGGGTCATGTCAATCACGTCATTCTCCTAATGATGTGATCCCATTAATCAAATGACAACACATGCCTATGGTTAGGAAACGTAACCATCTTTGATTAATGAGCTAGTCAAGTAGAGGCATACTAGTGACGTTATGTTTGTCTATGTATTCACACATGTATCATGTTTCCGGTTAATACAATTCTAGCATGAATAATAAACATTTATCATGATATAAGGAAATAAATAATAACTTTATTATTGCCTCTAGGGCATATTTCCTTCAGTCTCCCACTTGCACTAGAGTCAATAATCTAGATTACATAGTAATGATTCTAACACCCATGGAGTCTTGGTGCTGATCGTGTTTTGCTCATGAGAGAGGCTTGGTCAATGGATATGCAATATTCAGATCCGTATGTATCTTGCAAATCTCTATGTCTCCCACTTGGACTTGGTCCCGAATGGAATTGAAGCGTCTCTTGATGTGCTTGGTCCTCTTGTGAAATCTGATTTCCTTTGCCAAGGCAATTGCACCAGTATTGTCACAGAAGATCTTCATTGGTCCCGATGCACTAGGTATAACACCTAGATCGGAAATGAACTCCTTCATCCAGACTCCTTCATTTGCTGCTTCCGAAGCAGCTATGTACTCCGCTTCACATGTAGATCCCGCCACGACGCTTTGTTTAGAACTGCACCAACTTACAGCTCCACCGTTTAATAAAAACACGTATCCGGTTTGCGATTTAGAATCGTCCGGATCAGTGTCAAAGCTTGCATCGACGTAACCATTTACGACTAGCTCTTTGTCACCTCCATATACGAGAAACATATCCTTAGTCCTTTTCAGGTATTTCAGGATGTTCTTGACCGCTGTCCAGTGATCCACTCCTGGATTACTTTGGTACCTTCCTGCCAAGCTTATTGCTAAGCATACGTCAGGTCTGGTACACAACACTGCATACATGATAGAGCCTATGGCTGAAGCATAGGGAACATCTTTCATTTTCTCTCTATCTTCTGATGTGGTCGGGCATTGAGTTTGACTCAACTTCACACCTTGAAGCACGGGCAAGGATCCTTTCTTTGTCTGATCCATTTTGAACTTTTTCAAAATTTTATCAAGGTATGTGCTTTGTGAAAGTCCTATTAAGCGTCTTGATCTATCTCTATAAATCTTGATGCCCAATATGTAAGCATCTTCACCGAGGTCTTTCATTGAAAAACTTTTATTCAAGTATCCCTTTATGCTATCCAGAAATTCTATATCATTTCCAATTAATAATATGTCATCTACATATAATATCAGAAATGCTACAGAGCTCCCACTCACTTTCTTGTAAATACAGGCTTCTCCAAAAGTCTGTATAAAACCATATGCCTTGATCACACTATCAAAACGTTTATTCCAACTCCGAGATGCTTGCACCAGTCCATAAATGGATCGCTGAAGCTTGCACACTTTCTTAGCACCTTTTGGATCAACAAAACCTTATGGCTGCATCATATACAACTCTTCTTCCAGAAATCCATTCAAGAATGCAGTTTTGACATCCATTTGCCATATTTCATAATCATGAAATGCAACAATAGCTAACATGATTCGGACAGACTTAAGCATCGCTACGGGTGAGAAAGTCTCATCGTAGTCAACCCCTTGAACTTGTTGAAAAGCTTTCGCAACAAGTCGAGCTTTATAGACAGTTACATTACCATCAGCGTCAGTCTTCTTCTTAAAGATCCATTTATTCTCAATGGCTTGCCGATCATCGAGCAAGTCAACCAAAGTCCATACTTTGTTCTCATACATGGATCCCATCTCAGATTTCATGGCCTCTAGCCATTTTGCAGAAACTGGGCTCATCATCGCTTCCTCATAGTTTGTAGGTTCATCATGGTCAAGTAACATGACTTCAGGATTACCGTACCACTCTGGTGCGGATCTTACTCTGGTAGACCTACGAGGTTCAGTAGTAACTTGATCTGAAGTTTCATGATCAATATCATTAGCTTCTTCACTAATTGGTGTAGATGTCACAGGAACTGATTTTTGTGATGAAGTACTTTCCAATAAGGGAGCAGGTACAGTTACTCTCATCAAGTTCTACTTTCCTCCCACTCACTTCTTTCGAGAGAAATTCCTTCTCTAGAAAGGATCCATTCTTAGCAATGAATGTTTTGCCTTCGAATCTGTGATAGAAGGTGTACCCAACAGTCTCTTTTGGGTATCCTATGAAGACACATTTCTCTGATTTAGGTTTGAGCTTATCTGGTTGAAGTTTCTTCACATAAGCATCGCAACCCCAAACTTTAAGAAACGACAACTTTGGTTTCTTGCCAAACCACAGTTCATAAGGCGTCGTCTCAACGGATTTTGATGGTGC